CTTTTTCTATTATATTTTTCAAGCAATGATATTTATCATATTCAAAGGATAATATAATAAAATTATCCTTTTATTTATAATTTCTTAAACAATGTTCATAGTCAATAGTGGACAAGTATTGTAGGACAAAATGAATAATGTGATCATTTATAGAAAGTCATTGGTTTTCGTATTTTTCACATACATTGTTATCACTTTTTGGGGAATTGAGTAATGTGTATTTTTCAATGAGCTTTTAATGTAAAAGTTTTAACGTATTTGTGTAGATGATTCCCTTTTGTCCTCATCTCTCTTATGTATTTAATAGTAAAGGGAAAAATTCCAAATATGTCATCGAACTTTAAGAAAAAAAAGGTTTATTTGTGTGACTGATTAAAAGTTTGACTCATCTATGTCCTTTTTGTTTGAAAAAAAAACTCATCTATATCATTATTTGTTAACCGAAAACAATTTTGATGTTGCAAATTTATTTCGTATATGTGGTTTGTTATGATTCGTTTACGTCATTAATTAAATCATTTTTTTAAAATGGAAATGACTCAAATATGTCATCTAACTTTGAGAAAAAGACTCATCCATGTCAACCCAATCTCAATCACATCCTTCAAAAAGCCCTAAAAATGTCCAAACGAAACTTTTCAAAAATCTTGGAAAATCTGAAACCTGATTTGGTGATTTATGACATAGTGCAGCAATGGGCTGAACGTGTCGCGAATGAACAGAGCATTCCAGCAGTTAAGCTTATAACTTCGGGTGCATCTGTGTTTTCGTATTTTTTCAACATACTGAGGAAAACCAGAGGTTGAATTCCCTTTCCCTGCTATTTATCTCAGGAAAATTGAGCAAGTAAAGATTGAGTGAAATGGTGGCGAAATCTAATAAATCGAAAGAACCTGATGATGGAGATCGTCTAGCTAAGGGAAATATGCAAATCATGTTGATGAGTACTTCTACAACTATAGAAGCCAAATTTATTGATTATTGCCTTGAATTGAGCAATTGGAAAGTTCTTCCAGTTGGTCCACCAGTCCAAGATCCAATCACTAATGACACGGACGATATGGAGCTCATCGATTGGCTTGGAACAAAAGATGAGAATTCAACTGTTTTTGTCTCCTTTGGGAGTGAGTATTTCTTGTCAAAAGAAGATATGGAAGAAGTAGCTTTCTGGTTGGAGTTAAGTAATGTTAATTTCATATGGGTTGCAAGATTTCCAAAAGGTGAAGAGAAAAATATTGAAGATGCATTACCAAAAAGTTTTCTTGAAAGAATTGGAGAAAGGGGAAGAATTTTGGACAAATTTGCACCACAACCAAGAATTCTAAATCATCCGAGTACGGGAGGATTTATAAGTCATTGTGGTTGGAATTCAGCAATGGAAAGTATAGATTTTGGGGTTCCTATAGTTGCCATGCCTATTCATCTTGATCAACCAATGATTGCTAGGTTGATCGTAGAATTGGGAGTTGCGGTGGAGATTGTTAGAGATGATGATGGCAAAATTCACAGAGGAGAAATTGCGGAAATTCTTAAAGGTGTAATAACAGGGGAAATAATATTGTATGTGAGGTGTTTTTGTTTGTCTTCAAAATATATTGAGGTTGAAATAATGAGAAAAACATAGAACACCATGTAGGATTCAAATTTCCATGTAAGATGCTACGTATGATGCGTATGTCTATTTGTTCAATTTTATACATGTTTAAGTTTCTACGCAGAGGCCAAATTAAAGGGCATTTTTATGTATGTCTATAATATAACTAGTACAACAATAACAACACGATTCTTTGTCCCAAACATTGTTGGGTTGGCTATGTTTATTTCACATAAACATTACATCAACTATAATCAATCAGCATAAATGTCTACCTCAACGGGATTATCTAACAAAGCTATTGAATCAGACGAAAATGTCGTAGAACTTCCCATGATCTGATGGACAATCGGTTGAGATTGAAGAGGCTGAGGAGGTACTTCTAGCACTTCAACTTCGCCTTCAAGCATTTCTACTACTTTACTCATTGAAGGGCGTTGTATCGGATTTGTTTGTATACACCATAATGCAACCAAACTCAGCTTCCTAGCAATCTTCTTTTCATCATCATTCGCTTCTTCATCCACCACAATCTCTTTCCCCTTGTTGAACTTATCGTAAATATTATAAGGAAATTATTGGCTGGAATTCTCTTCATTTGCAACTTCATGTCTATTCAAGTCCAGCATTTCCATTAGCAGCATTCCAAAGCTGTAAACATCAGCTTTGTAAGAGATTTCTCAAATGCTTCTGTTGATCAATTCTGGAGCAACATATCCAATAGTTCCACGAGCAGCTGTGAGATTTACAATGCTTTTATCTGTTGGATATAATTTCGCAAGCCCAAAGTCAGAAATCTTTGGAATGAAATTCTCATCCAAAAGAATGTTGTGTGGTTTGATGTCAAAATGCAAAATTCGTACATCACAGCCTCGATGCAGATACCCAATTCCTCGAGCCACTCCAAGAATAATGTCGTACTTCCTCTGCCAACTTAACAGAGGACTTCCTTCTTGACTGGTGCTGATGTACTTATCAAGTGATCCATTGGGCATGAAGTCGTAAACAAGAGCACACTTTGTTCCCTCAATGCAATACCCCACGAGTCCAACCACGTTGACATGATGAATCCTTCCAATGGTAGCTACTTCATTCATGAAATCTTGCCCACCAGCTTTAGGCTTGCTCAACATCTTCACTGCTACATCCCTTCTACTTTGAAGCTTTCCTTTGTACACAGTTCCGTAACCCCCCTCGCCTAATTTCTCTTTGAATCCTCTTGTCATTCTCTTTATGTTGGAGTAATTATATCTGATTGGCATGAAATTGTTTTGTGTTTGCAAAAAGCGTTCAATCGTATCGTACATTGACAAATGCCTCCTTTTGAATTTGTACACCAGAAATACAATTACTAACGGAAGGCCGATCATAAATTTTGCTTGCAAATACCCTGCACGTTTTAGAAGTCATAACGAACCACAGAGATGATCAATGCATGGAATGTTAATCTGTGTCCATCCAACTAACATATAGATTGCTAAAGGGATATATAGGAGTTACACACGAACAACTGAAGCGGCCAAGCCTTGATCTCTGGATAGATTAAATTACAAATATTTTAGAATGAGAGATCAATGGAGAATTAAAAGTATATGTAGATAAAAGGCTTGAGTCCTCACCGGAAATCAATTCCAATAAACCTACAAAGACGTGCAAAAATTAAACTGTAGTGAGTGAATGTTGAGAATATAATTAAATAATAAAAGTGTGCTCTCTCTAACTGCTTAAGTTTTTAGATGAAATGGTGATTCATTGTTTTCCTAGTTTCTTACGTATAGAGGATAGAAAAGAATGTTACCCCACGAAGAATAATACAACTCAAATCCATAGAGAATTGCTTGATGAATATCAGAAAGGGAAATGTTGTTAATATTAGGCCATGAGGTCAAGCCTATAAATTCTGCTCTGCATCCATCACTCACTTCAAAGACTTTCATCTCTCCAATCTTTAAATAAGTGTATCTGCTTAATTTGCAGCCACTAATTTCCACAAATGTCGAATCATTAACAGCAGATGGACATTTGAACATGAAAATGGGTGCATAATTGAATGGTAAGCTTAGAAGGTATGAGAGAACATAGA